TTCTTTAAAAAGTTACAGAAAAAGCAATAACAAATTTCAAAGTCTCACAGGGCTAGAGAACTGAATTTGTTACGCATTTTTGAACGTCTTTAGTTTCTTTGCTTTAGCCTTACTAAGTCATAGATTGTTTTGTCATATGATACATAGTGCCTGGAACACCTTATGGTTAGGTTAAAAAGTACGCCCGCAATCAAGCGAGATACGCCTTTTCCAATGCGATTATAATTATCGCCAAATTGGTGTCAAACATGTGGATCGAAGGTCCCAAGAGCATAATTTTACTTTTCATTACCATGCAGCAGGACACTTGTAGTTTTTGGATGAAAGTACATCACTAGAGCAGCGATAGTTGTTTTGCTGCGGAATTGTTTCCCTTGCTTCAGAACGAAATTGGTATGCTTTAGCGACTAGTGGAAAATCGCAGATGGCAAATTATTTTCACTTGCCTCAGAATGGCCGTATCAGAACCCATTGTCACTTGCACATTGACAAAGCCTCGCTCCATAAAAACAGCAAGGTACCGTCCAGCATCCTGCCAATAGAATAGTAGACCAGTGTGAGTGTTTGGCTTGAAGTTTATTCTTAGGTCGAGGTAGTCGACAATGTCGTAAGGGGCAGGAATTGTTATAAATGATGAGCCGGAGAATTCAGCCACTTTCAGTGCTGGCAGTAGAAGCAGATCATCGGCAGGAGAGGAAAAGTTGAGTGTATTTTCTGAAAGAAAAAGGTTTTGTTTGATGCAGCTTTCTGTCTTCCACCATTTTCAGCATTTGCAAATTCACAGACGTTTAAACGCGGCGTATAATTTGCACTTTTCAGCAGCAAAAGTGATTAATTGCGTGTTGGCGCTTTTTTGCAGTAAAAGATAGAGGCTAGACATAAACAAACTAATCGTTTCACAAAATTGGTTTAGAATCGGCTGCAGAAGTACCTTGATTTGGCTCATCTTTGGTGTTCATATCGATTCTTGCTTCTTGTAACCAAGATTTCACTTCAGATGAAAAAAGGCAAACCAAAATTTTCCATTCTACCTAACTGTGAAAGTCAGACGAACTAAACACGGTTGAAGTACAATTTCAGGAGGATACAGAATAATTTTAAAAGAGCTTTCCTTCCTGATGACAGCTTCTTGACAGAAAAAAAGCGTCATAACGTCTTAAATAAAGGTTGCAGAGCAACAATCGAACAATAAAAGTTGAAATTTTCGTTTTTTTAATTAAAACTACCAAAAAACTTGTCGTCTCCGTCATAAATGAGAGACGGCTGAACAACGACAGCAACAAACTTCCGGCTTAATTGAGAGATAAGGACAATTCGGGTGTATTCTCTTATGAGTTGATTACGTTTCAAGAAGAACTTTTTCTTGCAATCTCTGCAAATTGTATGCTCCAGTAAACAATTTTGAGCTTGCACCTGCTCAGCAATCGCCAGTGATCCGGGAGAATGATGTGAAGTGCAATGAGAAGATATTAATCTGACTTAATGCGAAGAGGCTGTTCAGAGCTTATTTGTAAATTATGACTGGTGCCACCAAGTTGTCTTCATCGATTCCATTGAACAAATTAAAAAGGGAGATCAGTGAAAAAAGTCTG